AGTGCCTTCAGTACCCTCGGATGGAGCTCATCCAGGCCTGCCGACTTAAACGCATCCAGTTCCTCTTAGTGTAGCAGCTAAGAGCATAATTCTATTTTGGGGATAAAATAGAAATACACACACACACACACACACACACACACACACAGCGTCTGTCTGTCTCATGAGACAACACAGTTGTGCCAAGTGAGGCAGCAGCTCATTGCACATTTGCAAGTGTGGTTGTGGCTTCAGTGCTCGGCAGTCTTCTCCCAGTCATTTGGCTCAGTGTTCATTGCCTTCGTATCTCTCTTGCAAACATCTGTGAAATGGAGATAAGGATGACCACGTGGTCTTCTTCTGGTAAAGAGTTTTTCATCCAAGAGATCTCTGAGTATACAGCCGTCATCCATTCTCCGCAGATGACCAAGCCATTGAAGTCAATATTGACTAAGAAGAGCACTGATGCTCAGAATGCTAACACAGTCCAAGAACTCAGCGTAAGCAACTTTGCCCCACTAGAAAATTCCTAGAATGCGGTGAAGGCAACATTAAGTGGATGCTGTTGAGGCAGTTTTCTTGAGTAGAATATGTGGTTCAGGCTTTGCTGCCATACAAAAGGTTGTTAAGCATGATGCAAGCATGATATACTTTAACCTTGGTCTTATCAATCAGTTTTCTGTTGTTTCACATTCATTTGCTCAGCTTGTGTATGATATCTGATGCCTTGCCAATATGGGTATTCAGTTCAACCTTAAGTAACAAGTTGTTGGTAACAATGGAACCAAGGTACTTAAATATACTCAATACATTTTCCCTCTCTCTCATACCCACCCACCCACCCACACACAGACTATATTATCTTAGTGTAGCAGCCAAGACTATAATTCCATTTTGGAGCTTAAATGCTGGGTTTGTTTTGGGGTAGAGATTTTTATCTCTTACTTTACATCCCAGAAATCAAATAAAAAAATAGGTCCCCTTTCCCAAGAGAGAAAGCTTTTAGATCAACAAGGTATATGAACAAGGATTTCCAAGCAACATGTGCTCACTTTTATCATTTGCATTAGTGCTTGTACTTCAAAATCCTGGTTCGCTTCACCTGTTTCCAGACCTTCATTCCTTCAGAATAATCAGTTGGTCTCCCATTGTGTTCCACTCCCTCCTACCTTGATTTTAAATTACAATGGGTAAAAAGAGTGATGCTTTTTTTTCTGGCTGTTTACGAGAAACTAATCATACTGTTAGGCTATATTGAAGAAAGAATACTTCTCTCACAGTACTACTGTGGACAATAAAGAGTTCAAATTACCCAAATGGAACCGTGTAAGTGGAGTGAAGAGGCTGTGGATAACACTATTAAACCAAAATTGTAATTTAGTATCCAAGCTACCTTTTGGCTGTTACAAATCCATGTCCCCTTAACCTGCCCTATATTTCTAAATAGCAGAAATAGCTTAGTGTTAAAGAAGTCATTTACTGATAATGCTGCATGATGGCCAGAAACTGGAGGAAAGACAAAATATCCTATGCCAATGAAAAACAGAACTAATGCTTTATGTAGGATGATGAGTAAAAGGTTTTCAGCAAAACCAAGAAAGTGCCTGGAACACAGCTGGTAAATTTGCATAAGACAGGGGTCAGTCAAAAAGGAAAAGGACACCATGTTAACAGATACTTTATTTGTCTGTTGGTATCAATCTTTGGGCAACATTTTTACATGGTCCCTCTGCTTCCCAATGGACATCTGCTCGTGTCTCACAGTCAGGCTATTATTCCAGATTAAAAGAAAGATTTGGGCAGCTCCCAAAGTCACGCTTGCACTGCATCTTTACACTTCATAGTTGGACATTTATTTTCTCTTCCAGGGCTCTCTTTAGAGGACCTAACAGAAGAGCCAAGTCAGAGCTATAAGGAGGATGAACAAGTACCTCAAATCCATGGTTTTTTGTTTTCTATAGCCATGCCAGAAATATTTAGGCATGCATTATTATGGAGAAGCAGTATTCTTTTTATCAGTGCTCCACAACACCAGCTTTGAACAGCTGGCTTCAAACTGACTCAGTAATATTCTTTGTTTACAGTGGACTCCTATGCTTAAGTCTGTCACGTGGACACCATTAATTTCCCAGAAAGCCATTAAAAGAATTTCATTGCCGTTCACTCCCTCTGTGACCACCCCCTTCTCCCCCCCTGCAAAAAACAAAAGAAACCAAACCAAACCCCACATCATAAAATACAACTTTTCCTAGGCGCACTCAAAACGTGTAGCCATCATTTCTTTTAACTGTGCAGAGGGAATGTGAAATGGCAGAAAAATGAAGAGTTGTGGTCTTTCTGATGTCAATGTCCAAACAGAAAACACTAGACATTGATTATGCTTCTAGCCATACTTCTTACATTACAGTCATGGATATCTTATTATTTTTGACCATGCTTCATAAGCTATAAAAATAGATGCAAAGGAATTTTGTTCTAGTTATTAAGGGATTCATTTTTCCTTCAAAAACTCCCTAAAAACACAACCTTAACCCTGGCATTTTAAAATGCATTAAAAAAAGATGAGTTAAAAGAATATGAGAGTTAGGCTAAAAAAAGCTAACTTTTTTACATGTTAAACTGGGCATTTATAACCTTATTGAAACTCCTCAAAAAAGTTCGTACTAGCTTTCCCAAATATCCCCTAAAATTAATTTACAGTGTCAGTAAAGTCCTGTGAGAAGAGATCATTCGCATATGAATCACTCCCTGCTTTCAGATTTTCTTGCAGTTATCCTTCAGCTCTGGCTTTCCCTCATTTTACTTCATTTCTAGCCTTTTAGCTTTGCAACTAAATAATCACAGTCACTCCTTGCCAAACTGGCAAATGAATCCAGCATCCTTTCTGTAGACAGAGTGCCTCATATTGAGATAATGCCGAATCTGCCCCTCTGGATTCAAACCTACAGTCTTATAGAACCTTATTAATGCCCTTCTCAGATTACATGGCACAGGGCTTTACCATCAAACTTGCCAGTGAATCTCACTTATTTTAACATAATAACCCTTATAAAACAAAATGGAGAAGTGAAGAGCAAATTATACTGCTGGAGGCCCAAATATCAGAAAAGATATTTCGAAAAAGAAATAAATGAGTAGCTGCTAGAAGCAGCTCTCTGACTCTTAGATTTGCCTTTTGATTTTAAGTCTTAAAAGTAGAAGCTCTGCAATACATTGTATGTGTTATTTTCTGAATCAATAATTAGGACAACAAATCCAAACAGTGCAAAAAACCCAGCACATCTTCGAATGCCTTCCCTCACTAATCATATCTGGATTTTAATCATACTAAACTGCAGCACTTAGTCCATGTAAAAATTCTGCTTCATGTTCGTCAAGCCCTTGAAATTTTCCCCTTATGGCTCTCCCTCGCTCCAATTTAATTTGCTGGAATTTACAAGTTCAAAGACATTTTCCACTAATAACCCCAACCCCAAAACTGAATACATTTTTGGCTCCCAAACAATGTTACTTTTTTAGTTTTCCAACCTGTTTTTAAAAACCACTTCTTAGTGAGTTAACCCTTCTCTCTTCACAAAAGGTACAATCATGATTTACCACCGAATTGTTAACGAAGGTATAAATTAAACTAAAACATTTAAATAAATCGATAGCCTGATCCTGCAGTACACAGAACACCCAGGCAGAGCAGTGGGAGTTTTAAATGTGTCAGAACATTTATGTTGATTATGAGTTTGTGTTTAACATCACTTACAGGTTGAAGCAGGTAGATGAGGGAGCAGTCTTGGAGAACTATAACTGGAAAAGGAGTGATATTTGTTGCATGAAAAAGTGTCTCCACTGATGCCATGATTTGGTCAAAGCGTCCTCCAAGTCCGCCCAAAACCACAATGATATCAACCTAAAAAACAAAATTAAAAAAAAATCCAGTTTAAAAAGGAACAGCCTAAAAGCCAGTTCTCTGTATAGCAAAAAAAGTAGAAGATAAGCCCTTTCCCCAGGTTAAAAACAAAAAAAAATTAGAATGGGTCCAGATCCTCAGAAGGTGTTTAGTCACCTAAATGGCTGGAAAAAAATTTCTTAGCAAGCTTGCCTGCCTATAGCTTTGGACAAATGTGGCTACAACCTATACCCCATGTCACCTAAATAACATTTAGGATCTAGGCTATAATGCTTTATTTTGGGGGGCTTACACTCTTAACAGTGTTCAGAGCAGGTGTATTATTGCAGGATTTGTCAACCTGTTTGGTTGAGACAGCTTTTATGGGCTAAAGTTATCACTATGCAAGTTATCTTAACTCCACTGACTTAGATGAATTCATCTGTCTGTACTGATGTATTCAATGACATCAACATTCAAATTTTCTGAGGAGCCCTCTATCTCATCTTAGTGGCTTGCATTGTAAGTGCCAGAGCAAAAGGAACTTTTGAAGCCACTTGCTTTCTAGTCCCATCCCAAAATACAGCTATAGATATGAACATATCATTCTAGGACCATCAAAAAATATGATTTACGTCTGAGAAAAACTGTATTTGCAAGATTCACAGACTTCTAAACCTCTGTAAATTCATGGTCAGTGTTTTTGTTTAATAATAGAGTTCATCATGCATTCACTTAGTGTTTTTCATCCAGAGAACTCAAAGTACTTTAGAAAATGCATGTATTATCCATACTGTATCAAAAAAGTGCAAGAATGTCACCTTAATGAGCTGTACTTCATTCCATAGTAAGCAAGTGGCAGAGACAGGGAACTATATAGGTCACCTGTACAGGTCTCTAGCCTACAGGAAAACATTGCTCATAGCTTTTAGTCAGGACACTTGGGTTGTATTTTCAACTCTCTCACTAAACTTGCTGCATGATGGTAAGCAAGCCAACAACTTCTGGTACTTTAGTTAATCTACAAGTTTACCAGGAACACTTGCATGTCTTTGCAAAGAGCTTTCAGACCGTCATATCAAAGGTGTCATCGATGCATAAAGTATGATTATTATTATTACCCAAATGTAGGTCAGTTAGACTCAGTAATTATTTTTTAAAAAGCTATTACCACGTAAGTCACGACTAGAGCTTTGCCACAATGCAGCTCTAAAGCTTTTACAGTCTGCTTTGACAATGGCCATCTGGTGAAGTTTCCAGCTTTATAGAGCTTTAGTCCACAGCCATGGTGAATACATGAAGTTTTACTCAACCCATGAGTCACATAATGATACTTTGTGTATCTGGAATGATGCATTAATAACATCAGCTTCTACTTTTATTACCAGGGCTAGGACTTTACGATTCTGTTGCATATTTGCTTGCATGCAAATTAAGCCCTTTTCCAGCTAGTCAAAAATAACACTCTCTTTTCTAATACCACCAGAAAAAAGTAGAGAGAAACTGCATCAGACAAAACTGAAACATTTAGGTTAGCTGTAAAATACTGAAAGGAAAATATTTCAGACACCTGTAATGAAGAAGTGAACAGTTTTTCCATGCTGATAAAATCATACACATCTAAGATATAACCAGTAGGTTTTCCTCTAATGTCCTTGATTTTCTAATTTGCCTTTTATTTAATAAGTTCAAAAGAGTAGGTCTCTGGCTGAATCAACAGAGTTTACTCTTACTTTATTTAAAGATTGAACAAGCTCCTCCTAATCACTGTCAGTATGAAGGCCCCACAACCACTACAGACAGTACGTGAATGGACTGCTATGTTCACATAGAGCCCCAATAACATCAAGGAGGCTCTGCCAGGACCCAGCAGTCTACATCAATAATACTTTCCATTGGTTATAGGGCTGGAGCCTTAATTAGCTCCAAAGATCCAATTTTCAGAGAACTGAGCAACTGCTCTATCATATTATGATCTGGGGTTTCATACCATATGTGAGCTCTGAAGGATTCCTTGGTTTCTTTTGACTTTGATGTTTTTTGATATTTTAATTACATTGAAGGGACATGTACTTCACTCGAACTTGTTGGGCTGAAATGTGGCACTTGGAATATTCCACTTCGCAATATCTAATGCACAATACTTTGGGTTGGGTATTTGACTATTTTTCCTTACTACATTTTCTCTTCACCGTTTGGGGCCAAATTCTACTCCCTGATATGAATGCAAAATTTAATTCTCACCAAAAGCACAAGGCCTATTGCAACCAGAGAAGTCCCCACTGAAAGTATCATTTTGTGACACTGGTATCATTTTACTGGTTGAAAAAAACATTTTATTAAAAAAATGAGCTCCCCACTAATCCACATAAATGGTCCAAGATACTATCCTGTTTCTAGTATTGACTGCAGTGTTTTGAGAGATTGCTCCACACAACTATGGTATATATACAGTTTTTAAAACCTCTTTAGTTCTACTGCAGTGTGGTAAAGATCACAAGGATTGCCTGCTGAGGAGGGAGTTATAAAACAGCAGGTGTTGGTGAGAAGGCTTGCCTTCTTTTTAAACTACTTGTGTATCCTCTATTCAGGAACTATATGGATGTATGAAAGTGTGTAACAGAACAATGATGGTTAGCAAGTGAAGGCAGCATCCTCATCACAAGATCAGGTGTTGTTTTCATTATAGGCACCCCTACCTTTCACAAAAGTGCTTTGACAGCAGTGACACAGAGATGTAGAATTTATAAAGGCTGCATCTGAAGCCCTAGGTGTTGCTACAAACATTTAAATACACAGACTCAACAAAAGCCTCAATGGCCATCACATCCTGAAACCACCATAACCTGTATCACAAAGTAAAACACATGAATCAGCCAAACAATTAATTCCTTGCTTAATTTTACTGTCTTTTTCAGCCACCAAACCTGAATATACCTTGCTGTGCCCTGAAACCCAGTTACCCACTCACAAAAATCCAGTCTATTTCAGACAATAAGAGAAAAAGACTTAGTTTGCAAGTTCAGGACCCTTATACATGCACATATTTTTAAACCAGAAGGAACTATAAACTCATCTAGTCTGAGCACTTGTAATAACTGAGGCCACAGATTTTCATCCGATTACCTCAATAATCATCCAAACAATTCACCACATATTTTGTTAAAGCAAATCTTCTAGGAAAGCATTCCGTCTTCCCTTTCTCTTAAATGCCCTGTCACCAGCCCCTTGGCTATTATTTGTTTTCAGATACTGCCATTCATTCAGGGAAACTAAAACAAAAAATATCTTTCAAAGCTTAAATACCTGGAAATTACAGCCATTTAGTAACTGTATGTGGACATGACGGATCATAATGCTCATGTGTGCACATCACACTCTCTGTGACCTATTCACTGTGTAGCATTTTTAAGAGGTATGATGCATTCATGGTCAGAGTGCTAGGGTCTAAATACTGATTTAGCCATTTTTAAACAATGGGCTCTGAAATGATTTTCAGAGTAACTAGCAGAATGCAAAACAATAATTTAAGAGAATAAGTAACAGAATATTTTGCACAGACTGTTCATAGATATTTGGATTTCTTCCCCCATCCTTTGAAATACTCCATTTAGAACTTGTAGTAACCATACAGACCATCGGCTGCTAGGGCGTCATAACAGTCACTTAGTTTTCACTGCTTTTCTTTTTTGAGAATATTCAAATGGGCAATTTATTTTAAATTGCGTATAGGCTTGTTAATTGAAATATTCCCACGTACAGTTTGGTCCAGATCACATTCCTCTTTCTTGCGTGGAGAGATTCATTATCTACATGTTGTTGACCATGTAATTGAGAAATATGTGCCTAAGAAACAAGTAGATGGGAGGAAAAGCTCAAATGCTTTATGAAGCAGGGTGAAACTCATCTAGTTTCCATAGATTCATAGATGTTAGGGTCAGAAGGGATCTCAGTAGGGCATCGAGTCTGACCCCCTGCTCTGGGCAGGAAAGAGCGCTGGGGTCAGACAACCCCAGCTAGGTGCTTGTCCAGTGTCCTCTTGAAGACCCCCAGGGTAGGGGAGAGCACCACCTCCCTTGGAAGCCCCTTCCAGAGGTTATTTTAACATTCCTATAGAGTGTCCACCACAGTGGTACCTGCCTGCCAAAGTCTCCAAAATTTAACATTCTAACAGCCCTGTATACAAATGACACTTGCTCTACATCCTCTATTCAATGATCCTGCCTTGAGCAGAGGGTTGGATTAGATGACCTCCTAAGGTCCCTTCTACTTGCCTATGAACACCTTCACAGTCACTCCCAAGCTGAATGTTTTGCAGCATTCTATATGGTCACATCCAAGGTACCAGATATCACCTCACATTTGTCCCTGACATTTCCTAATTTTCCGGTCACACATCCAGCATATAGGACTGTGGTGCATTCAGTCAACTGATGCTACCCACGATAAGCGATGGGGGGGACACACACGGAATTTGCAAAATCAGACACTTTAACAACCAGATGCTTGAACTTCATTTTATATTTTGAAAAGTGATTAGACAAATGGCATTGTAAGTGCTATCTATGTCTATCATATCAAATGTGCACAATTTACAAGGCAAAAAATTCTCAACAGCCAACCTTGCATGTTCAGGATAGGTACTGAAAATCCAGATGGGTTCTTATTGGTTCATACATCAGTGACAATACTAGGAAATCCTAGACTGGCATGAATATAGTTGACAAGTACAGCTTACTCTCCAATGGATACATTAACTCTTCTCTGCTGGTCAGCCATTTTAAAAAATGTAATAATTATTTTGTGAATGATGTAATGATTTATTAATATTCCAGAAATGAGTCCCAGTATGTGCTTACATTGATATTCTTGCAACATGTGTTTGGCCTCACAGCTAGAATGCCTACATAAAAATGCATGGCATTAATTTCTTACTAAAACGATATGCACGATCACACAAACATCTGAACTTCGCTGAGGCGCAATCCTCTTATCTTTCCTTATTGCTCTAGCCATCTGAC